AGTTTGTGATTCAAGGAAAAGAGAGCTATAAAATTGAATTTTCCGTCAGTATATGAAAAAACATGGCATTTTTCATAGCCTAGAGTGCATTAATATTCAAGACATGACTACTGTGATGACTATCAATCATTTTAAAGCAACTCTAAGTATGTTTGAGATGTGGAATTAGCAGTTTATGATACCTACCTTTATTTGACAAATTTTACGGTCTGTAAAGTGTAAAGTGCCTTAAAATTGAAACGAAAAAATGTTTAAGCCTTGACTTTAACATTTTCTAGTACCTTTATGTATGTACTTTCAACAAATAAACATGTTGTATCCATACAACAAGTTTCATTTTTGACCCCCCGTGAGACTTTTTTGCAACCTTTCCCGTGAAACTGCCCCTAAGTACAGTATGCCTATTCGGTGGAGCGCTAGTACGGAGGGTACCATAGTTCCAGCACTCCACTCAGTAGAGCTAGAATAGAACTGAGGCTCAGCATCAGGTAAGTCCCAAAACATAAAACTGTCTTTTTGTTCTTGAAACGGGGTACCAACTACCATTGGTCATGTTGGTACCCCGTTTCAAGAGAGGCCAATTTAAAAATAAATCCCGGATTGGTAATTGTGTAGTTTGGTACTACCAAAGTTGTCAAACTACACAATTGTCACAAGTAGCAATCTGAGATTGGCTTCTCTAGCTCCATATGCCTATGTTCTGACTTTCAGTATGTTTTTGAGATTGAGACTCTGGCATGCCACTGAACAGTAACAATTTATGAATGGTGTGCAAATGAAAAGATATGGGGAATCTTTCCTGGGAAACAAGTTTCTCGGAAACAATGTTGCAACCTGACGCCACTTCCGCGATTGTGTACAAAGTCTATGGACTCGGAGAGTCAGGACAAAAGTAAGTCATTCTGTTTCTCAGTCCCAGATTCATGTGATGATGTGTTATCATCAGTTTTGCAATTCATGATGGAAAGATTCCCATATCTGGCCATCACTTTTCACCCTGTGCACAAACCCTATGGGACTGGTCTGAAAATTTCTAAATGTTTTCTCCTGAAGTAAAAAATCAAAATTTGTCATTGCTAATTTTGACTTTTTTGGACATATTATCACTTTCTGAAAATAAGTGATGGCCAGATATGGGAATCTTTCCTTAATGACCTTTATTGGGATGATATATGAAGAAAACAGTGTCGTCAGGTTGCAACATTTGTTCTAGCCCCATAAATGTGGCCAATTTACTGGACTACCTCCGTAACTAAAGGCCACACTTCCACCATGTACAAAAACATGTCAAACTTTGTCAAATTTTGGTTTGTAGTTTATTTTTGTTCTAGAAGCATACTCAGGCTAATCAGAAAGTGCTGCCTTTTTCAGATGTCTAATTTTCATAAAATTTCCAGATTCGTTTGCACACGTTTGCGTATCAAAATTTCAACATGACATTTCACGAAAATTAGACATCTGAAAAAGGCAGCACCTTCTGATTAGCCTATTAATAGTATTGTCGAGCGCAATTTGAGTCCTCTGCGCAAGTTTAAACTTGCGCGCGCAAGTTTAAACCTGCGCGCACGCAAGTTTAAACTTGCGCGTGCATTAATTTCCTTGCTACAAATTGCGCACGCAAGTTTGAACTTGAGCGCTACATAGATTTTTCCCATGCATGCAAAGCCGCCAAACTAATTTTTTTCCTGGTAAACTCATGCAGATATGTAACATTATTTTTAAAAGCAGATTTTTCTCCAATTAATAGCACCACTGTGCTTCATGAGACAGTGCCTTAATGCCTTTTTTGAAACATTTTATTTACAGTATTATGCTAATGAGGTTGACTGTGTGGGTTCAGAGATAAATAAACAACATATTTATTCATTAATTTGAATTAATTAATTTGAATTAATTAATTAAATTAATTAATTAAATCATTAATACATTTATTTACTTTTTAAAATAATTACCATTTTATATGCATAGCATTTTTCAGTTAAAGCACGTTAAAATTAATATGAATTATTGAGCCTGCAAGTAAAATAATTGTTTTAAAGTAATAAATTAAATTAATTAATTAAATTAGTAATGAGTTCATTAATTTTTTTTTCAAATTATGCATTTTTGAAGTGTACACAGCGCTCGAAATGTTATGCAAAGTATTTTTAAAAACAAAATGAACTATTGTACCGTCCAATTAATTAATTGCTAAATTAATAAAATTAGTATTTTTTTAAGAATAAGTACTATTTTAGTTGTACAGTACATGTAATATAATTTAAAGCATTTAAAAAATAATGTACATGATTACTATAACATCAAAAATATTGAACAATTGAATGGATGATAATCATTCTTTTACGTTAACAACGGGTTACCCCTAGGAAATTATGATTTATTTACATTTAAGAATATAAATAAAATGCTAATTAGTTTTACATATGCAAGTTTTCTCCATTTTCAAACAACTCCAGTACTCTCTCCAAGCAATCACCGTGCTTATTGCTTGCCTGGTCCCCTTCCCACCCCCGCCCCCTAAAAAAGTTCTCTGATATATGCACTGCTAAATCTCAATGTTTCTTTTCATTGACGCTAATTGAATTCCACTTTTTATTTATTTCTTTGTTCATTAATTTATTCCATTATTTATTCATTTATTTCTCCATGCACTTGTGTTTCGAACATTTATTTTTCTTCATCAATGAAAATCCCGCCCGCAAGGTTCTCAAATTGCGATCGCCTTTGCGCAAGTTGTAACGTGCGCACGCAAATTAAAATGGCGCGGTGTAATTTGCGTGCTTCGGGAGTCCGTCGCGCAAGTTTAAACTTGCATGTGCAAGTTTAAACTTGCGCGGGGGACTCAAATTGCGCTTGACAGTATTAAGAGGGTGAGTATGCTTCTAGCATGTCTAGAGCAAATATAAACTACAAACTAAGCCTAAATGTGAAAATCAAAATTTGACTAAGTTCGACATGTTTGACATGTTCTTGCACACGGTGGAAGTGTGGCCTTTATTTACGGAGGTAGTCCAGTAAATTGGCCACATTTTATGGGGCTACATTTGTTCCAGTTTCCCATCCAGGGGTTACAACTTTTTATACAAGGCCTATTTTACTAAATACTACTGACTGGAAACGAAGTTGAAAATATACGTGATGCGGGATGGCCCTACTCCTGGAACTATGAGGCGCCCCTGGCCTGCCCTGGGGACGATTCGCCCCAGCTAGCAATGAAATGAGCAACATTATTATTAACGTTACCAGTTTTTCCTCTTCTTCTTTATGGTTATTTTCGTCTTGCTCTTTTTCGACCTTTTGGACGATGATGCTTCGGAGTCAGACCTGGATTTTGTTCGACGTTTACGTTTCCCCATTGTAAACTTTCAACCAAAACCGCCACAGCAAAAAACCTACAAAACTCGGACTGCTAAAACAACTCATGCAACTCCAGCTCCATGAGCTATTGTGAATAGCGCCCTCCATAGTCGAATTTGGAAATTATTCAAAGGAGGCGCTGCTGGGCGCTACATTGGGGGCTATATTTGGTTATACTGATTAGGTCATTTAAATAGGTTGTTTTCCTCGAGAAGTCCTCTTTTTTTTAAAATGAAGTCTCTGAGGTAAACAATGCCTTGATAAACGTTTAACTTTCTAACGTAAACCCACAATGAAAGTCCATTGTACAGTCAGTTCTTGGCCCCCAAAAATAAATAAATAGAGGGCCTAAAGTTCAGATCCCAGTAGTACAGCCTCTTTCTGAAAGCATTGAGCTGCCTCCATGCTCAAAGGCACACAAAAAAAGATAACTCATTTCAAGTTTGTTACTATTGGCTCAATATTGAAATTGAAGGAGAAAATAAGAGAGATGCAAAGGATGACTGTGGGTGCCTCGAGCACCTTCTCAAGTTCCGTCTCTTAGTAATCTCCCCATCCCCCCCCCCTCCCCACCCCCAAAATATATATAAATAAATAACATTAATTCCTTGAAATCCTTTACATTTGGATTAAAAGTTTATTTGCTTGCAAATTGCAAAGAAAGTCCCTTTCAATGTGCTCTTTTAACGCTCCGCCATTGGGCATGCAGAGCCTCGATCTGGCAACTTTACACAATAAAAATAGCCGGTTCAGTGATCTGAACCCCGACGCGGGAATCACTGAACCAACTATATCAACTGTGTAACGTTGCCAGATCGAGGCTGTGCATGCCCATGGCGGAAGTGTGAAAAGAGCGAATGCATGCCCATACATTCCCATTCAAAAGACAAGGCCTCCCCCCCCCCCAACCCTTAAGAAAATCTGCAAAACATTAAATTTCATCCATAAATCTACTATTTCCCCCCAAATCTTTGAAAATAATTGATTTATGAGTGCTTAACCTGTTAAACTTCTATTTTTTCCTTCTCAACGAATCATGCTTCAATTTATTGCTTTATAAGCTCTGGCAGGAGCTTCTACATGTCACATGGTAGTCGGTCCATCGGTTAGTTGGCTGGAACGTCTGTGTATGTGTCTGTCCCCGGAAAATTGACCAAAAGTATGGTGCTCCATATGTGCAATCGGCATGCATTTTTTTCAGCGGCGCAGTTTTCAGATCTGGTAGGGATCATTCGATCAATTTCATGCCAGACTTCTTGCAACACGGTCAGCGCTTATTGTGTACTCGCACTTGTTTTCCTACTTTGGGCATCGCATCTGTCACCCCCCCCCCCCCCAAAAAAGCAAACTTACTTTTTTGGAGGGGGATGGGTGGGGGGGGGGGGGGGTACTTTTGCACAAAATTTTGGCAAATGTCTCATTCAAAAGTGAACTTCTCTTGTATTGCTAGACAAATAGAAACAACAAATCAATTTGAAAAACAAAAATCAGTTTTTCGAGGTGAGATTCAAAAATAGCACGGACAGTATCTTTAGGGAAGATGCCAGTGCTTCAAAAGCACACATACTCCTCTCTTCAATACTGAAATGAAAAGTAATCGCCCAGCTTACCAAAAGTCCATTGACACACATGACAATTAAACATTTCTCTTGCGTTTTCTTTTAATGTTTAAATTGTAAGCAGTTGTACTCACACTATGCTTAAATTAAAAGTAATATTTGTATATAAAGTCGATCTTCTAAGTTAGCTGTACAGAACTACATGTTCATATCAAATTTGAGTAAATATTAAATACAAAAATTAGGAGACTTTCAATTCAGAAGCTCTCTTCAGTATAAAAAAAAGCCCGAATCAGAAACATCTTCAAATATCTCTCACTGGGTATAGGTATTTATAATAGGAAGGAATAAATATTAACAAGGTTATTAAAATGATTTAGAAGAGTTCCCTTCTCACTTTGGGAAAATGTACTCAGAGGGATTATGCATGATAAAAACATGAAGGCAGGGTGGTCATAAACACAGGAACAGAACGAGGAGCAAGAATTAATGAAAATTGTAAAACCAGAAGAAAAACAGCATTAAACAGCTTCCACAAACTTCCACATTCTTGCAAATAATTGATTAAATTGATAGTAATCCCTACATGTGCTATCAAGATTATTGTTTTCCCAAATAATACAAAAATGCATCAAGATATGTTTTCAAACAGCAGATGATATTTCTCATAATACTGTAATGGTTACACATAGTTCCACACATGTACAGTATCCCATGCTGTATAAAGGAAATAATTTGAAAGACTCAATTTTTTAAAAGACATTTATGATTAGAAGAAAAAATATCAACTCAACAAAAATGTGAAATCTGCATACCATCTCAAGTGATTATGTTTCAAAGGCTTTACCCATTTTCCATCTAAAAATGAAAGGATTGTGTATTCAGTTACTGTGTGCATGGCTATTTTATTGCCGATGATCTGAAAACAGCGGATGGATGCTGTACACAAGAAATATGTCCCCAAAATCAAAATTCCCCCCCCCCCCCAAAAAAAATAGCCTAACAAACAAAATGAAAAGGAGAAATGTGAAAAAAGAATACTTATGATCTGGTAAAAGTACAGATGGTTACATTTATCAAAAAAATGTTATCCATCTTGCACTCAAGATGCTTTGTCTGACTTCCATCGGTTAAAACAAAGTTGCTTATTTTGTTCCATTTTTCATAATTTTCAGAATGTTATTGTAACTTTTTTTTCGAAGTATCAAAATCTTTGGTAAGTCTCAGTTTCATTTTGTTTCATTTTGACAAATGTTCAGATTCTTTTTTTTTTCTCAATAGAAATAGATTTTTCAAATCGAGAAACATTCTCCGTAAGTAAATGTTCAAAGCTATGATCTACGGTTGAACCTTTTTTTAGCCTTCTTTTCATTGAAAACCTCAATTTCTGCTTATGCAGCAATCTATTTCCTACTGCCAAATAGGCAAAGAAAAATTCTGGGAAAAAAATCACATAAAAGGGCAATAATGGAATGCATTTTTCCAGTGCTGCATGCTTGGTAAGTGTTGAATACTCAACTCACATAAAGACTGAAATCAAATCCAAGACTATAACAAGTTTAGAGGAGTGTTTCCATATGGGTTATTCTACAAATTTAGGGTTTAAAGCGTGACCTTTTCCTGATCCTGTTACCTTAGCACTTTGTAATTTACCATTCAAATATCATTAAGACTGACTTTAAATGTCTTTATTTGTCTGGTAGGTAGTTTGCTATTCATAATTACTCTTGGAAGATGACTGCATTTAAAGGAGTGCATCAGAAGTATAAAATTACAGATGTCTGACGTAACAAAGACCAGGGGAAAACAAACGCGAACTCCAAATTTATCGAATGACCCATTTCAACCAAGCATGCCTTTAAAGAACTTTCTGTGAAACCACAAAAGAAAGACACCGATCTGTCCACTATGTAAAGAAAACTTTCTAAGCATTAGGTTTTTTTTCTTTCTCTAAACCCTAATTAGTAACCTTTTCCAATACACCTTCAGATCTCAAGCATGGGATAACCTGGATCCAATTTCATTGTAATGTTAGGCTGTGTCAATTACTTGGCTACGCCTTGAAATTACACATGAGTCTATGGGAAGTGGCTTCATTGACTCGTGTGTAATTTTCCAGCTGTAGCCAAGTAACTCGGACAAGGCCATGACATGGAAAATGTTTGCTTAGCAAACACGGGTTACCAACCAAATGTCATGCAATTGATATTGCCTGTGGCTGGTTCCCAGCTGGTTTTTGCTTATCAGGCTACATCTGGAAATTACACACGGGTCTATGGGAAGTGGCCGCAGCCGCTTCAATAGACGCATGTGTAATTTCAAGTTGTGGCTAAGTCATTCAGACGCAGCCTCACACATATTTGCTGAGCGAGTATTTTCTGCTTAGCAGATCTGTGAAACTGGGGCCGTGTCTGAATGACTTGGCTATGGCTTGAAATTACACACGTCAATGGTAGCGGCTGCAGCCACTTCCAATAGACTCTCCTGTGTAATTTGCAAGCCGTAGCCAAGTAATTTGGCCACGGCCTAAGCCTTGGTCAGTATCAATGTGTATTGGTTTCAGAGTACATAGGATATGCAGCACAACTGCAGGCAATATCAACTGTGCTGAGAGGCTTGAATCGATAGACAAATTTAAATCTACTGAACTTTCTTTGTTTAGTACATGTAGTCTATTTTGCAGGAAACTTTTTTTCAACACAGGCTTATTCACATACACATTCTCTCAAGTTTAGGTATGTGATAATCCAATGAAGTGTTAACAAGGTGATTTAAAAACTGGGTGATTAAGGCCCATTCTAGATGCCGTACAACTTCCACATCGAACTTAATTGACACGAGTGCGGCAATAGCTCGTCTACAGCATGGTAGTTGCTCTAAACGCCAAACATAATAGTCAAACTTTAATGCATCTTGAGTAATGGGCCAGGTTAAAGCAGTTCAAGAAGTTCAATGAACTTTCAGCGCGATCAAACTATTCGCGTCAATTTCACTCCCCATGATGCGGACGCGAGAGAGGGTATTGCGAGCATGCGCATTCTTAAAATGTTTGCCTGAATTTTGAATTGAATTGAGTTCGGCACGGCAATGGCACAGCGTTTAGAACAGTGCCGTGCCACTGCCATTCGGAATGATGACAAAGCGGCAGCCCTTTCGCCCTACAGGATGGTGCCATGCCAAACTCAATTCGCCATGCCAAACTCAATTCGCCGAGCCAAATGGTTCCAAATGCCATACTATCACCATGCAACTGCCGTGACGAATGAAAAAAGTCAAACTTTTTGAGTTCAGCAAGGCAGTAGCTTGGCGTCTAGAACGGGCCTAAGGTGTCTTGAAATTGATGTACTGATGGTATAACTCCAACCGTTTGGAGTTTGGATGACTGACAAGGTGCTACATTTAGTGTGATAATTCACAAATCGGGTAACAAGTAAGGGGGGACGAACAATAACAAAGGAATACCTTTGTTGTCACAGTTCATTCAAACAGTTTGTGACTTGACTTGGGACTGGAGGACTTGTGGCTGACTTGTGACGGACTAGACTACAAAACTAGTGAAAGATACCTCAATACCAAAATTTGAAAGTTGAGTTTTGGTTCATTGGCTTGACTTAAGAACTTCTGCTGCTGTACAATAATATCGAGATAATTTTAATACAGTGGAAATAAGTTGTCACAAGCTCCAAGCATGTAATTTTGAAAAAAAAGAAGAAAAATAAAGAGTACACAATATAAATGTAAATAGGTGTATAAAACAAAAACTAATGAAGTTATTTACCAATAAACCAAAATCTATCTACCGACATACTTAAAACTGTACATAGACATTCAGTATGAAAAGGCACTTACACAGCTTTTGAGCTTTTTCACAAAACAGTCTTTAAACTTACGAAAAACATGTATGATTTTGACTGTTTTAAGTTTCTCAACATTCACTCAAAATGAAAGTAGTTTTGAAAATTTGTCTTTGAATCAACACAAGTATAAAGCTGCTTTGGTATTTGTGTGCGCATATATGCTTGCAATATTTTCCAGCAAAGCTGGTGCAATCCTCAAACTTTTTTGATAAATACTTGAAACTGCATTTGTGATAACAATGTATAGTACACGTAACTGAAAGAGTGAAAAGTGCCAAATAAGACAAGGAAATATGAGATTCAACCTTTTCATGCCAATTTTTTTTTTTTCACAAATGCTTACTTTGTTCAGACCAATGGCCAAGGGACTACATGAGTTGCCCCCCATCAAGTTTTTGTTTTTAACTTTTTTTTTGAGCAGCTGGACGTTTGAATCTATCATTTTTTGCAATCTTCTGCTCAACAGATTTACAATTATAATCTGCATTATGAAAGATACCATGTGTCATAATTGAATGGTTGTGATCATATGGAGGATCCAGCATGAAAAATCCACCATTTTATTTGTACAGACCTGCCATAAGCACAAGTTTTGCTTCTGAACAGGTTGGATGTTAAATGTCACACATACATGCCCACCTTGGAAAGCTTGTACTGTAATACAAGTGCAAAGTATCCACAGTCAAAACAGTCTCATTTTGGTATTCATGTCTGTAACAAAAAGTAAATTCCCCTCATCCATTGGTAATACACTGAACTCTGTCTCTTAGCAGCCCGAGGTACCGGCAGGATCAAAAGTGAGCTTTGAAAGCTGCAATCTTAACCAAAACACATCTGTCATGCAATGTAGATGCAACAGCCCCTATTAAGCCATTTTTGCTAAAAGCCAACTTCCAAGCTCAAACGTTTCCTCTGCTCCCGGCCCCAACACCTTCTAAGCAACAAACCCTGTAGTGGATGCATACTCCCTCAGAGTTCTTTCCCATTTTGAAAGCTTTGCTGGAGCTCCTGTCGCCGTTTGTCCTTGCTCGGTCTCATGCGGCAGGCCATGGCCCGACCATTGGCGCACTTTCGTTTGTTGAACAGGTCCGCCCTGGTCGGGGACATTTTATGCGTGTCTCTCATGTGCATGGCAAGATAGTCAGTCCGTGCAAATCCTACCCCACAGCCGTCACACTTGTACGGCTTGAGGTGGGTGAACAGGTGCTCTCTCATGTGCTGTTTGCTCTTGAAGCGCTTGTTGCACTCGTTGATCTTGCACTGGTAGGGTCGTCGGTCCAGATCCATTTCAGTGGCCTCCACTATGGCATAGTATGGAGTGAGGTCCAGACCTCCTCCAACATGTGTAGAGAGGGCTTGAACTTGGGAGCCTGAGGGATCTGAGACGGGCCCGTTCTTGGGACGACCTCGCTTCTTACCCCTCTTGATGTGTATCTTCAGCATGATACCACGTTTCTTTCTCCATGATCTCTGTCGGTTGGGTTTGTACTCTGGGTCCGCATTCTCACTGCGTCGTCTGTGTATTCCTTGGAAGGTGTAGTTACCGGTTCTGCGCTTTGGCCTCCCTGTTGGAGTGTACAGGGCATCTTCATCGGATTCATCTACAGCATCCTCCTTAGATGCCACATGATAGCTGGTTGAGTACTCTTGATCACTGGCACCAATCAAACTGCTACCTTCCATCTCCTCCTCCCCAGTTTCATCCTCTACAGTTCCATCCTCTAAATGTGCCTCTGTTATTTCAACATCTTCTTGTTTAATATTTACCTCAGTTGCCTCAACCTCTTGCTTAAACTCCTCTTTCTTCATATCCTCTCTGATATTATCCTCCATTCTACCCACCATCAAGTCATACTCATGGTTTGCTTCACCATTTTCTTGAGATGGCTCAGTAAGTCTTTTGAAGTCAGGGTTTGGATCCTCTTGAGTGAGATCTTCATCTGGCAACTTACATGGAATCAATTGCTTCCTCTTGGACCATGAAGCCTCTGGTTTGGGGGAGGTGATGGGGCTCTCTTTTGGAGATGTCTGTGCTTGAGTACTTCCGGGTGATATCTGACAACCATTGGCACTACCAGATGCCGCATCATCAAATTCCTCCTTTGGACTGACCTTAGAAAGTGAAACTGGAGTAACTGTTGAGTCTTCATCATCCTGGTTTTCAGCAAGCCCAAAGAAATCCACCAAGTCTTCATCCTGATCATCATCTCCATGACGTCTCCTCTTTTTGCTCTTATCCCGGTGAACAATATCTGACCCACGAGGAAGAATAATGGTGGAAGAAGGTACCACCATACTCCTAGAGCCTGGTGAAAAGCCATTTCGTACAGGATGGGCAGATACACCATCCACGTTTGACTCTGTTTCCAATGGCTGGTAACAGGTCTCTGGAATGTGATCAGTGGGCTTAAGCCGCTTACCAGACTTAAACATCAATTCCAGCTCCCTGGCATCCCCCTCAAAATTGTGATTCCTCTTGAGGTGATCTGCAAGATACTGCCAACGAGTGGTGTCAAAACTACACTCGCCGCATTTGTACGGTCTGGAATGGATCCGTACATGATCCGTCAGGTTGTTTGAACGCTTGAACCGATTACCACAGATATGGCAAGCATAAGGCCTATCCTCCGGGGTTTCATCTGCCCTTGATCGTTTTCGACGTCTCGGTGATTTGTGCTGGTCTGATGATCCAGACGAAGAATGGCGTCGTTTGGGAGAACGAGGTACTGATTTAGGGCTTGGTTGTTTAGGAGAGATTTGGGAGGGGCCAACATGAATGGGTGGCGGTATCAAGGATCCAGCAGTTCTCGGCAAAAATTCTGCGTGATGCTGATGTGCCATGGGCGGGTGACTTATTCTATTATCCATGCTCTCTCTTTGACTATAGTGAAGCCTACTTGGCTCGTCACCGTACAGAGAATGGAATGGAAGTGGTGGAGGTGGTGGAGGTGGTGGAGGTGGGGGAGGTGCCAGCTTTGAAAATGGTTGAATACTTTCCCTTGGAGAGGCTATGTCTGAAATGTTCGGTGGCACATGTGCCAACTCTGACAACTGCACAGTCGTTTCATCATCACTGGATACCTCAACCACATCAGCAGTGACTTTTCTGCTAGAATCTTCCACGGAATGCTCTTTTGAGGCAAGATCATTTGACTGGTTCTCTGTTGACTTCTGTAGGGATAGGTCTTCTGGTTTTTGTGGCCCTTGATAGACGAGGGGTGGGGGTTTATCATTTTGCAGCCCATTATTCACCTGCCTGGGTATGCTTATCCCACGATTTGCATTTGATTCAGTGGTAATTTGCGGGGCACTTGTGTCACCAGGTAATGCTTGCCTTAAGGGAGGAGCCGGGGCTCTGGCAGGAACTGGAGCCTCAGCTGGGATGGGAGGTCTCCCATGAATGTGATCTGCATGGGCATAAGGATTCCCTATCACTTGAGAAGGTGGCCCCTGGGTGTTATTCTGCTCCAGGTGAACTGGCTGCTTGGACATCTCACCATATTCGCGTGGCACTGGAACACTTTGCAGATCATGAGGTCGTTGTTCCTCTGGAAGCTGCCTCCTTGAGTTTGCCTTATAATACTGACTGCTTGGATTTATGAGAGCATCTGAAGGTTCTCGATTGACAGGGTTCATCATCAAGTGGCCACCAGCTCTGTCTTCGTAGGGATACTTGGGAAATATGAATCTCTCCCTCTGGCTGGAGACTGGACTGTCTGAGGGGAAGGCAGGATTAGATTCTGGGTACCCATGAGGCGGGTAGCCATTCTGAGTGCGATAATGCTGCCTTTCTTGCAAGTGTCTTCTCAAATGTTGGTGCTTCTGTTTCTCCCACTTATTGTGTTGCACATGTTCCTGCTGGTGCTTGTCTGGATGCATGTTGTGCCTGTTTTGACGATGTTTGTCAAGACCCTGATAGTCGAAGTTTTCCGGATAACCATCTCCCCTGTTCATCACCGATGGGAAACAATTTGGTGAAGGAAACCTAGGTTCTGGTAGTGAGGGGCCCAAATGTGGAGGTCGATGGCTATAATTCATTGCAGTCGGTGGATGTGGGCCAGGATAGTATGGTTCTCTGGGATCAACTAATGATCCAGAACGAAACATTGATATGTAGGGATTACCAGGGAGAGGATACCTGGGAAGATATGGCTGTCCTGTCGAAGGATCCACCATGGGTACTCCCATGGCGTTGTACATTGCTCTAGGGTCATAGCCTGGAGAGCTACCGGTAGGTCCAAACTGTTGTGGAGGATACTGCTGACCAGGACGATTTAATGCCTCTAAGATGACACTCTTTCGTGGATGATTGTTAACCCCCTCAAATCGGTCTGCGGCTTCACTCAGGGAACCAACTGCAGAAATGACTGGCAAGACTTGCTCACTAGCTGGCTCACTTCTACGATGAGTACCCAGCCTTTCCTCTGTTGGCCTTTGAAGGGGAGGAGACTTCTGCTGATCTCTGAAAGAGTCAGCAGATCTCAGTCTTTCTGGACCAACTTCATTCCGACTGGCAATTGCCAACTCTGAAGCATACAAACCATCTGTAGCATGTGAACTGCATGATGGAGATACACCCTTTCTTTGAGAGACTTCCAGAACCTGTGGGTCTACCTCATCTAGGTCAATAGGTTCCTGTTTGACCTTAAGTGTAGTGTTTGTCAACATTTTTTCTTTCTCACTGCGAGGCTGAGGTTTGGCCGATTGTATTGTGTTGGGAATATCATTTTCAGGAGCTCCTTGTTCTTCATCCATCCCAATCACATGCTCGGATTCTCCAGGTGAATTGGAATTGAGTGTTTCGTTGACAGGGATGCCATTCACATCTGCTTCACACGAGGTTGGATATTCTGTTTTCACCCTGACGTCTGGATCAATGTTACATGTGGCTTGCACTCGGGTGATATCGGCTAAACCAGACTCACTCTCACCTTCTTGGTATTCCATCTCAGTTGCTTCAGTGGCATGACAGCCAACCGGTAAGACATCATCTGATCCTTTTGGTCCCAGAATCTCTTCTTCTGTGTTGCCATCTATAAAATTCATGCTGCCCTCTTCTTGTGGCTCACTGTCACTTCCCTCTGCATTTAAAACTGTGTAATAGACACTTGGTGAATCCGCCTCACCAGCTCGGTCTGTATCATCACCTACCCCACTAGAGGGCCTTTGGTCTGGAGCCCCCGGAAGTTTGGGTCGTATTTCGAGATTGTCGTCATCAATGACAACACCTTCATCCAGGGCTGAGGGGCTTCCAGTTTGGCTCTCCTCTTCATCTCTCAAGAGAATTGGTCTTTGTTGAACTTTGGATGCACCTTCTTCTGGCAACACATATTCTTCGTCAGAGTCATGGTCAGAGCTTGTCCATTCAAGTATATCTCCATCTGAGTCTAGGTCACTTTCTGAGAGTGCTCCAGTGCATTTGTCTTCAACCAAGTCATCATCATCACAAATCACAGAGGCATTTTGTGAATCTGGTGGTAAGATTTCTGAACTGACTTTTATAGAGGTCTCGGCCTGAACTTCTTCATTTTGCAGTGGGAGTTTTGTCTGCTGAGGAATGTGGCCTAAGCTACCATTATTCAAATGTGTTTGGGTTGCAGTATCATCTCCACTTTCCTTTAGCTTTGCAACATCGGAGGCAAAAACAGATCTAATATTACCATCCAAGGACATGCCCTCTGTGTTTTCTGTTACACCAGCTGGAAATGACACAGTGTTCTGTTTCGTCACAGTAAAGATACAACTATTAGAATCTTTATTTGATTCAGGAACAGGAATGTTTTTGTCGTTGGCTAGAAAGATTACAGGACTGTCATCTGAGTCTGGATCTTGAGAGGAAGGGGCCTTTTCTCCCTGAGTTTCCAATTCTGAGCTGCTCTTTGAGGAAGACTCTAAACCTTGTTGATTCTCTACAGCAGAGGATAGCACATTTTTACCAGATTCTATCTGCTCAGTGTTGAGAACCTCCAGGGTTTGACTTGTCTTGTCTGTGTCAATTTCGGAGCTGTTTACTTTTGCTTCCAAATTGTCATTCAACTGATTTATCTCTGTTGCTTTGTCACATTCGGTGGGGTCGCACATCTCAAGCTCTTGCTCTGCTATTTCTGTCCCATCCTGAGGACTGTGACTACTGTCATAAGTCTCCGACTGAATACAGCATTCTTTTTTCGGTTGTGATTCTGCAATGCATGAGGAAGTGGCACTGACATCCACTTTATTCCCCGACTCGCCTACTTGTTTGTGTAGATTAGCGTCAGCAGTGCCACATTCTGTTTCTTGGGTTGCATCAGTACTGTCTGAGGGTAACTGCATGTGGGTTAGGTAGTTGTGATCCTGTGGAACAGGAGTTGAGGTATCATCATCATTCCCGTCATTCCCCTGATCGTTGGTTACATCTCGGTCACCTTGTTTGTCAGCATCTTTCTTGTCTGTCTTATGATTTCCTCCTCGAGAGTTGTCATCGTCACTGTTGTCATCATGTCTGTGGTATCTTCCACCACCAAAGTAGTCATTTGGCGCATCGTCATCATCTAATTCAATATCAGGCTCTTCAGTGTCTGAGACGTCATCCTCTTCTGTGCCTGCAGGTTTTAACTCGCCACCAACATCCACCAAATCTTCCTCCTCATCTTCAGTACTGCTGAGATTTCGATGTGCCTTGTAAGGCTTGGCTCTTTTCCTGCGGTACTCAGGTCCGCCATGCTGAAGCTGGATGTGCTTTAAGACATTATCCTTCCGTGCCGATTTCCATCCACATAGGCTGCAACCGAAGGGCTTGATGTGGGTTTTGATGTGTTCCAATAGACAGTGCTCGGAAGTAAATCCTTTGTTGCAGATCTTGCAGGAGAAGGGCCGTTGAGATTTACTGAGGAACCGCCCATGGGTATTGATCAGATATCTGGTATTAGCATCTAAATCTTTCACAACTGTGGCTGCACATCGATTAGCCGACTTACTATGCTCAGCTGATGATCGTCTTCGCTTCTTGCTTCGGTGCTTACTTTTCTTCTTTCTCTTCACACTCATGTACAGTTTTATTGGTGGCTGTAGTTCTGGGTCTGCAGGCTCCCCTATCTCTGCAGTCTTTACTATGGAAGTTGAAACTAGTGGTTTGAATGAAACTTGTGGTTTACGTGCCATCCTCAACTCACTGGCCATCCTCATATTTGCATTCCACTTTTTAACAGCTGGATTGTCGGCCAGAGTTGAGGGTATGGATTTAGACCATATTTTGGCACCTCCTGGCAGCGAAATGGCTTCACGCTTTTCTTCAGGGTCCTTGTCCACAAATTCCGGATTCTGTCCAGGCAGTAGATGGTGACACCTAACCACGTGTCGCTCAAGATCTATCAAGGCTTTGAAGCGGAGTTTACAGATGGAGCAGATGATGTTAAACACTGGCTTGTCGGGTATACAAGGCCTGTTCTTGTGGAAACACAGTGAGGCCTTGAACGCAAAACAAGCCTCACACACTGAGCACTTGTATGGCAGTTTGACATGCTCAGGAATATTGTTGGTGTGCATCTCTCCTGCCAAATGGTTGAAAAGACTAGCCTTACTGACAAACAGCTTCTTGCACTTCTCACACTGGAATATCTTGATGCCTCCTTTAGAAGAGGCCATGGAAGGTTCATTGGACGTGGTGGGCTCAGATTTGAGAACAACAGACCCAGCATTTCCTGTCTCAGTGGATGTACGTTCTGACCCACTGTTGGAAGAAGCTGATCGGATGAGCTCCAGTTCAGGATTGGGGCATACAGCTTTTTGTCTTTGGGGTTGAACGCTTGCAACTGGCTGTTTGCCAATCACAACAGGCCAATTGAATGAGCCAATGGTAGTTGGGCCTAAAATGGTTGGACTCCCTTGCATCACAGTTCCCCGAGTCACAGCAGTACTCGTGACAATATTTCTTTGGGCTGTACTTGAAACGACCGTTGTCCCTACAGACTCCTGGGGAACAGGTGCGGCACCCTGTTGTCGGGCATTCAGCAGATTCTTGACGGTGTTGACAGGAAGGATGGAGCTGCCAGGTTGGATGATGGGCATCTGGCCAGTGTTGTCCTGACCTTCCTTGCCGATGACAATCAGGTTACCGTGGCTGTCAAGTTTCAGGGTATCACCTCGCTGGAGTAGAAACACTGTCTGCTGTGGCTTGATGATGGTTGGCGCGGGTGAGCTACAGGTGAAGAATGTGCTGTTTGTTTGCTGGCCACTGGCTACTGGAAGTTGCTGTGCAGTCTGCAAAATAAAAGAAAACAAGCATTACAGTTCACAATTCAGAACTGACATATATGTACATGTGAACATGATTCTTTCATATACAAATATTGAGTGGCTCAGAGTGAAATGGGAGGAATATTTTTGCAAGGTAAAATCTGGACTTTCTGGGGAAACTCCAGATTTTACCGAGCGATAATATTCCTCCCATTTCACAATTTAAAGCCACTCAATATTTGTTTTATATAACTGACATATAGATCTTTGTCATTTGATATAATTGATCTTTTATTTCAATACAAAGTTGGTGGAAAAAGTGTTTTTCCCTTCCAAACCTCCCCTTCACGAAAATGTTTGAACCCAACTCTGTAGCGGTGGTTCTTTGGAACAATACGCGCTACGCTTAACGCGCACACCAGCATGCATTTGCACAAAAATACCACGTCATGGAACAAGCATCGATCCTAACTGTTCAATAGTATCTCCCATTCCCCATGGGACTTTTTGAGTCCCGGCGTGAATGGGAGAAATAACGAATGTCACGTGATGTGTGTTCCACCAATCAACTGACAAGGACCTGTATGTCGGTTATATCAATTAAACTATCCAACATTTACACATTTCACCAATTTACAATCAGTTGCAGCATATGTTGCCTGCTTTCACAAAATGAGAAAAAAAAAATCATTTTATGAGATCTATCATTAGTTCCAAACAAATTTATCCTTAAAATTATTTACAAGCAACTTAATAAACATAAGCAACTTGTAAATACCGCAAAAAAAGAAAGTCCACACTAATTGGAGGGGGTCATCATTTTTGTATCTGATTGTCTTATGACAGCATCATTTATATAGACCTTTGGGGAATGTTGTTAGCCATATTTTTGTACCCTGTTTGCTACCAGAGACTGTAGATCATCACGAATTCACAACAGTTTATGAAAATGATGCAGTTTGAAAAGTTGCAAATTTAAAGAGTTGTGAGTAGAACTTGCTGGGTGACAATGTCAATGTAACACAAAGGGAGCACTGTGCGATCGATAGGGGCCAATTACAGGCATCTGTGGTTACGCTTAGCACTTTCTCCTCGCAAATTTTATAAAAAAATTTCAAACTTTTCAAACTGCATCATTTTTCACAAACCATTGTCAATCGTTAACAATTTACAGTCTTTTGAGCAAATGGGGTATCAAAATGTAGTTAACAAAATTTCCCAAAGGTCTATATAAATGACGTCATCATAAGACGATCATTTTCATAATTATGACCCCTCCAGTGAGTGTGGGCTTTCTTTTTTTGGCGGTGTTTATATATGTGAGACCATACAGCCAGCTATGAATAGGACCTACATGTCATGTTGCCACTTCCCTATTTTTGGCCAGTTCACCTTTGGCTACAAATTTATGTTTCTTGTATAATGGCAAAACATCTGATTGAGTAATTTCATCAGGTGTTTGCACCTGTCCCATCTGTTTTCCTGTTTATTTGTTGTCCATAATTTGGTTGCTGGTTTGGGGCATATTTTACACTAAGACAAACTTTGAGATGATTCACCTCAGTACATCATAACTCATTTCTGGATTTGGACGAGAGGATTTTACTTTTCAGATGATGGAATTTGCGTTCGGGTAATGTCAGTGAAGGGCAAAACCTAATTTTGGATTTGACTGTTACCTGCTGCTGTATAATTGGAAGTTGACCCTGGTACACAGGTGGTAAGACTGCAGTTTGCTGGATAACGGGCGATCCCACTGGAACATGCTGCACTGGGACAAACTGCTGCTGTGCTTGCTGGGGACCTTGTTGTACGATGATGTTACCAGGTGAGACTGCCTGCTGCACTCCCCCAACCGACGTCAACCCGGTCTGCAAGATGCTACCCTGCACAACATTACCCTGAACCAGGATCTGACCCTGAGGGAGTAAGCTCCCAGGTTGTAATGGCTGAATCAGCTTCTGCTGGAGCAGTGACAGCTGCGGCTGTTGGGACTGCACCACCTGCTGAATGTAATGAGTTGGTTGGCCGAGTTGTGTCTGGGGTTGGGTGTTGACAGGATGCTGGAGGGTCAGTGAGGTTTGAGGAGTCTGCACCTGTGAATTGGGTGGAGGGGTCACAATGGTGTGGATGACGTTCATAGTCCCAGCTGATGCAGGTTGACTAACGGTAGAGGTGTTCCCATGTTTGGACATCCACTCACTTGTGCAAACATCAGAGATTGAAATGGTAGTTACATTTTGTTGTGCAGGCTTTGAGGTCTCTGGTGTTTTGATAACACTCGTGGGTATTGGTCCATCCGGAGATGGGCTGTCTTTAGGTGTTTTAGCAACCGAAGATGATGCTGGCTCTGCCTCTTCGCTCACGACTACAACATCATCCTCTTCGCCATCATCTAGAGTGTTTGCTATGCTGAAGAAGTCGGTCAGATCTGACGCAGCATCAATCATGCTTTCCAATGAGGATCGGTTGGGGAGAGGTTTCTTCGCTTTACGTTTGCTTTTAGCCATGATCTGTGTCACAGGTTTGTTAATGATCAAGTTGGGTTCATCATTTGCAACCTCTGCCCTAGATTCACTGTCACTGTCAACTTCTGAAGTTGATGCCACCAAGGATGGACGGAAGATTTCTGTGTTGGGAGGCAGCTCAACTAAACTACTGGATCCCCCATCTTCCTCAACCTTTTCTGATGATCCAGGAGTTTCAAGTGGTTTGGGGGCAGAAATCTGTTTCTGTGCACTCATGGAAAGGTCTTTAGTTTTTGCATTTAGAATATCTAGTAACCTGTTCTTCTTGGCTTCCAGGCTATTTGTCTTAGTCGGCAAAGAGGCGTTTCTGATCTTTGGAGAGTGCTGAGGCTCCACATCCTGCTTAGCAGTTGCTTCTGGGTTATTTGAATTAGGGGTACCTTGCTCAGCCACTGGCTGGATAGAAACAGAACTAGCCTCACTCAAATTGGTTTCCTCAGCTGGAGATTGAAGGGCTGACGAAGCTGAAGGCACATCAGGAGCACAACTTGATTCAAGGGCACATACAGGGCTGCTTTGTCTATCATGGTTTTCGCCCTCCACTGCCGTTTCCCTGCTGGATCCTCCAAGGTCAGGAGTCAAGCCCAGAGGGACTGTCTCAGTGTTGCTCAGAAGATCCCTGTGGAGCCAACCTCTCTCTTCGCTTGGATCAGCTGAGGGCTCCGGAGTTTTAGCAGCCACGGGCGGACCCAGAACAGAAGGACCTTGCATTACCACAGCTGCTCCGCTGGGCTCGCAGATCAGTGTAAGATGGCTGTCCTGAGCAGCCTCCTCATCGCCTAGCACATCATCCTGGATTTCACCATGATTACCTGGTTCAGAGTTGGTGTGGTCATCTGCAGGCTTATCTATGACTGTATCTGGAGGAAGTTCCTTGGGCAGTGGGTCTTCAACACTTGGCGCTGCAGGATCATCCATGGCGGAAGAAACGGGCAAGATTGTACTGGGTTCAAATCACACTCGGGCACTCCCTACTGATGTCATCTAACCATTGCACCGGCACCTGAGAAGTAAAAAAAAAAACCAGACAGAATGTTATAAGCCTTCGTCTTTTTACCATATCAAGCAAAAAAAAGAGAAATTTTGGTGAAATGTGCAATGACCAATCTGCACATCATGCTGATGTGTTAATTTGAATCATCTCAATCGTTGTTATTAATTGCCACCAGATATCCTGAGAGTGATTACAATGATGACTATAAACAATGCACGCCAATAGCAGGAATGTAAAAACATTTTCATACATGAGTGACACCCAAGCAAAGAAAATATTGCACGTGACAAGTTAAGCAATGTGCATGTTGAATCATGTCACAAACAATGCATGCACAATATCATCCCATTACATGTAGGTAGGGAAAATTGGAGATTTCAAAATCCGGTTATGCTAATTTTTTGTTCAAAACCAAATAATGGTTATCTGATTTCACCAGAAGTTCCCATCCAGCTCACAGTCATGCCAACAAAAAGTGACGAGTGAGGTGCCACATGAAATGCCCTCCCAATGACTGGGTATAGTTTACAGGATTCAGAGAAAACTGGGCCTTTACAGTTAACACTCCAGAGCTGTAATGTTGAAACCAAAAAAGGATGGGGACTCTCTGATAAGTTGAAGGAGCAGGCTATTTATTCCAAGAAGACCACTAGGAAGTGAATGCAGTGACCGATACAATCAGAGACCATGGAGCAAATTGGGCGATCTGCCAATTGGTTTCTTTAACCTGTGTTACAAAATATGAAAGGCTTAATTTTTGATTAAGGTTGTTTTTGAATATCAGGTTTCCAAAAGTGAAACTAAATAGTGGAATTCAAACCGAATGTTAAAAAATCTGGATTTAAATCCCACCACTACCGGTACTTGCTGACAAACAGTAAACAAAATACCATTACTTGGTATTGTAGCTTGTCAACAAAAAAAGGTATGGTTCTGTGCACAAGTGCCCCCGATTGTAAGAAAGGCAGAGTTGGGGGAGACCACTGGGAGGGACATTCAAACTCAATTTGCCAACAATGCCTGACGCATACGTGAAGACGCTTATGGCTTTGTTTACATTCAGAATGAAATAAGCAATCCTATTGCCTTTATGCTGTCATTCTCTTTGAAGAGAAATGTTGTATCTTTTTCCAATGAGGATGGGAAAATAGTGATTTAATTTGACCATTTAAAACAAATTTTGTAAAAAAAGGCTTTAAAAATGTACATGTATACATTGTATATTTGGGCACTTCATGGAAATCTTGCATTAAAGACAGATACTTTTTTTTAAAGAACCGTTTTAAGAATCCTTCTTAAAACAAAATTTGATGGCCTACTTTGTTAAACATACCGGTACATGTACAACTCTACAAGTCCACAAATGGGGTTTCCAGATACAAACAATACAATACAGTGTGATGATACTGTACATGTACGCGTAAAGGCCAAACCCAAATCGGTTTGTTACATATACCGGACATGTATGTTCTTTACGAAATGATAAATAAATAAATAAATATAGGTGGGCGTAGACATCTAGGAATATTTTACATTGGCTTATCAAGCTCCGAGACCCATTTTCTTGGAACTCAATGGTTCTTGTGTCTGGAGTGCTGAATGGTAACAAATAGCAACCAAGGAAAACTGGTGTGCAAGTGATTAGATAGGCCCCGTCCAAATTATTTGGCTGCAGCTGGAAGCAACACACGGGTCTATGGGAAGTGGCTGCGGCTGCTTCCATAGGCTCGTGTGTAACTTCCAGCCGTAGCCAAGTAATTCGGACACGGCCATGTTTTCACCGGCTGACTTAATCCCGCCCGCACCTATTATTAGCAATGTAGGCTAATATGTAACTGGGGTTCTTTGATGGGTTGACACAACAGACTACAACAGTCTACATGTACACAACACTGAAACTGTACTGACAATGCGGACATGGCGTGTTCGTCTCCCGCTTGCCCCATCTCTCCCCCCCCCCCCCTTCAACTGCAGCCACATTATGCAAATAGCATACGCGCCTATAAAATTCTGCCGACAATAAAATGCACGCAGCTCTACAGCAAGTATAGACCTGCGAGTGTTTGATTCCCGGGAAAATGGGCACGCGGATTTTATGCGCCATGCGTAATAAGGCTAGGGCCTATTGAATTATTAATAATATTAACGGATGATGCAAATAGTGATGCACTTGCAAAGCCCGGTTTTTTTTTTCTGAAACAAAATTTGTCTACATTGGCACAAAAACATGGTGGTTTATCATACAGAGTGCATACATGTATATAGCAAAGTGTTATTTGAATCAACATTCACTAAGCACAACGTTGTGGGCCCAAGTCCCGGTTCATATCCTTCTTGTATGTAAATTGGTGCAAAACAGCAATTTTGTATAATGACTTAATGTAATAAAGGTTGGGACGACCGCATCACAATTGTGGTTTTGCATACTATGCATAGATCTAGTGGATATATCCTACACAGGAAAGTGCCATCATAACATTTTAAGGCATGCAACTGTCAAGTCACAACAAGAGGAAACTCCACGACTTCAGTTAGACTTTGTACAGTGTTTTTCAATTTTTGATTTAAAAAAAATGAGGAAATCAGCTGATCCGAGGAAAAGATGCATGCCTGAATTATGCATTAAAGAACAGAGTGCGTGAGACGTCCAATTGATGTACATGTACATACATGCCGAAGTTTGACGGGGCATTTATGCTGCCATCAAAAGACCTGAATCCAAGGAATTCTAATGAAGCAAATGATGACCAACTAATACACGTGAAGAAAGAAAACAAAAAGCGTCACGCTTTACGAAGATTTTTGATGTACATTGTAGCTGCCAAAAAAAAAAAAAATTTACAGTAGGATGGCGTAAACATTTTGTACGGGCCTATTAGAAGTGCCAGGCCATTTTGCAGACTCCGCTCGCAGACGATGCAGCGGACTACTAGAACTGCTTATCACATGCCGCAGTGGCTGACGCCTTATTATAATTAGATATGTCTGCGCGCAGAGGCTGGAATGTCATCCTCATTGCGAATCACTGACTCACACAATGTGGACCGCACGTCTGTGAGTGTACTGGAGAGTTAAAACGTGTATTAAGTTCTGCGTGCTATAATTTTACCAGGAGTGGTCGGTAAAACTAGTTCAGCTACATGTACATTTGAACATGTACTTCACCATGATTGACTTCACGGTATAAGTTACTGAAGAATATTAAAACGAATAAATGTACCAGTACCCAATTCAATAATAAATTTGATCTTGAGCCTTACGTACATGTACCGGTACATTACATGTAAATTCATGCGTAGGCGTAAGAATTAAAATGTGAAAAAGAGTTCTGCGCACAATACTTCAGAAAGAGTGGTCGTCTGATAACGCTAAGGTACATGTATCTGGATATGGGACTACATGTACCGGTAATTTGTGGTTATCTCAGCATGTACATACATGTATACAATAAAATACAAATTTGATATTGTACACACATAACATGTACATAAATTGTAAAAATGAATACACCAGTTAAAATAAAGTCTGTATGTTTACATACCAATGTACGAGAAAAATAAAATATCACGTTGTAAACCAACTTCCTCAAACACCAAATGAATTTACATGTACATGTACAGTTTCAAACGCATCCTCTGTGAAGTATTAACTTTGTAATATGCCCACTATTTCCTTCCAGCGAAAGTGAAACAGCTGTATCGTAACTGTGTTCCAAGTTTTTACAGACGACCCAATGTGCGTGTGGATACTGTGTGCTGTGGATGTCGGTCCCTGAAAAAAGCTAGGCGTGTCAGGTCATCCGACATACGTGTACGTATGCTAATACGTACAGGCGCCATCTGTTTATCACGCAGGACAGCCAGCCGGCTGGCCCGCATTATAATTTCATGTCCGCGCAGCGCAGGCAGGCAGGCGGGACCGGCGAATTTTCCCCCACTGACTCAGCGTACGCCATTTCCATGAATGCTGATGTGGGTTTGGTAAAGCGTAAAAAAAAGGTTGAAACCTATGTGAGTGTGAAGTTTAGCAGGGTCGCAACAAAGGAAAAATCTCACGCTTATATTCTAGGCATCAAGTGTTTACACATTTATATTCTTGGAGTTGATAAGATTTAACTTAAAAACGTACACAACGCTAGATCTTACAAGTTTATCTACAGTGTACATGTACCGTACATGTACAGGATTTGCAATTAGTTGTACACACATGTTGTATTAGTAGAGTACATGCACTTTGTGATTTATACGGTAAAACTCTACACATCAAATGCGTGCATACTACATGTCCTGGTACATGAGTGGATTTTCAAAATTGGACTGCCATCTGAGTTTTCATCAAGATTGCTCTGTGAGTAATCAATTTCATGCGATGACAAGCTACGGCACCACTGTTCAATGAGTAAGAACAGCCTCTGAAGTTATTCTAGAACTTTGTTTTTTATTCTTGCTGCTTTAAAGGCGCGTAGAAACATTGGTAATTACCCAATGATTTTAGAGCTGTGAATTGGAACCGGTTACCTGAGTACCCGACCATTAATGTCAGGAATCCGGTTCTGGACTATGGGATCATGTACTCGTAACCAACATTACAAATTACTTAGTTACTTCTCAGACAATGAAAAAAAAAAGAGGTTTTGAAGTCATTTGTGGGAATTCTCAGAATGAAAACCAGGCCACGGGGGAAAACAAAACAGATATTTTACATTTATGACGCTCGCGAAAGCTGCAGTTTACACCATTAAGCTATAAAGCTCACTGTACACACTTGTATCTTGCTGTATTGATGTGCTGATGCGGCAGTATTATTGTGCGGACCTTTATAAACAATCTCAACAGCAACTTCTGAGATTTGAATTTTGGCATGTTTGGCGTTGGGTTTCTTTAACGGGTACCCATGTTTTTTTTTCAATCAGGAACCCGGTTTCCTGTACTACCCCACATCTAACGATTTACCTACAGATTTAACAAGAAAAAACCTTGCTTGAAGTGTAGGCCTGGTGACTTCTGTCACCACATAGGCCATGAGATTATTCTGTCTTTTTATCATACAACAGAAAACACCAACTGAAGATGATTTTTTAAAAAGCATGTTCACGGGCAATTTTTTTTAACCTGCGTTAGCAATGGAATCTATTTCCGAGACCGAAACAATTGTGCATAACTTTTTCTGGTTTCATAAAAAGTAGAAACTGACTGAGCTAAAACTTCCGCTGGTTAGTTGTTGAACAATTTTGTTGCTTGAAACAAAAGAGCAAAATGTACCAAAAGCAAATGATCCTTAGTTTACACGAATGTCTCTCACAAGATTAATGGTCATATGAGGGCGGTTACAACAATGAGCCCCCCCCCCCCCCCCCCCCCCCCCCGCTCCAACAAAAAAAATGTTCAGAAATTTTGGCATTCAGGAAACTGCTGAACAAAATAAGCATGTGCAATCTTCCCCCGAGCACTCTACCAGGAAAATACAGCTTAGGTGAAACTGTCGCATAAATTGTAAACGCACTCCTCGGATACATGTACCGGTACGTGCTACTGTCCTTCCAGGCAGAGTTATCTTTCTCTTACTGTTACTTGCATGTACAGTTTAAAATACGCAGAACAGTGCAAATGAATAGTACTAATGAATGCACTACGTGAATGTGAATGCACTACGTATACATGGACATGTACATACGGTACCATGTGTACACGTGCATACTAGAGTCGCCGACTACAAGCTTTAAGTTTAAAAGCTCTTCACACCTTCATCTTAGCAATGGTTTTGTGACTTTTGTCACATCCCACAAACATACACGTATATAGTTATAAAAAATAAAGAAACGCTTGTCTATTGTTCATTTTGTTTTTTTTTAAATTACTGAAAATCGGTACATTTTTGTTCTGCACACTTCTACTTGAGAACAAAGGAAGCGAAACACCACTATTATGATGCATGCATGTGAATATATATGCGCAATTTCTGCTGGTCCCTGAATGAAGAAATGCCGGGTCGTTAGGCCTCCGCGTCCGCCATGTGTGTGTTCGCAGAGATACACGTAAGCACAACCATCTGGGGACGCGCATGGCAGTTGATGAGCGACGGCTCATTATAATTTTCCCTTAGCGGGGAGGGGAATACAGTATGTGTTCGCCGACCTGTGACATCCATAGAAATACATGTGCGCTCAGAAATTGAAGCTATTGTAGTTTGTTCTGTATAATTCTTCGTGATCTGCAACCTCACTCAACCCGTGAACCTAAAGCCAGAGCAAACCAGTTTCTCTATATTTAGAGTAGGCGCGGATGAACAGGATGACGCTATAAGTAGTGGTGACAATTAAATGCACGTATGCATGAAAAAAAAAAAGGCTGAGAACACGAAATTACAGCTCCGCAACGTACGTGTAAAATGTACGTTTATATCACATAACATGTACCTATATTAATTGAACGGGGGAGTGCAACCATTTTACTTTCTACGCAGCGATCTTCATAAGAAGCATTAAAAAAGATGAAAAATGACACAGCCATCAATCTCCTCTCCCCCTCCCCAAACCAAAATATCCGAAATTGTGCGAATTAAAAAAATTGAGACTACAATAAGTCATCAACAATACGGTACAGTGAACGCTTAGGAAGAGAACATTCACATTATTCTTTGTGTGACAGACTTTAAGAAAATGAAAAATCTGTGTGCAGAAATATGCCAGTATTTTGGCCTTTTATTTTTTGCGTTGGCGTGCCCACAAAGAACACACACCCGCCCACCCTTGCCTGATTGGTTTCCCATCGCAGCCTCCCGACAGACGGAGCTCGGAAAAAAAGCTGCGTGACTCATCGTTCTAGGCGGACACCGTATTGGCCCGTTGCGCTGCTGCGCCAGTCAAAAAAAAAACATGAGTCACAATCACTTGTCTGCGACGCCGTGCCCTCAATGATTACGAGAGCCCCGGCAACGAGTGCTCAATGCCCACACGCGACGCGAACACAAATTCTTAATCTGAGTGGGGGGGGGGGGGGGGGGGGGAGCGGGGGGTTCGTCTTAACAATTAATATGTCCGTGAAACTACAATGTATTTATTTTTGTCGCATTTTTTAAATAACTGGTTATTGCCAAATTCTTTTTAATTCCTGTGTTTTGATGGAATTGTACTTTGTCGTGGGAAAAAGAGATTACCGTGGAAACTAAATAATGCAGAATGTTAGAATTCACTAGGTTGAGAAGATACGGTAGCACATAAATAGACTTACATGTATAAACAAATTATAACGGAAAAAACATAAACACGTAAATGTATAAATTATAGAAATAAGTCATGTAAAAGACAGTGACTTGTGTACCTACATACTTAAGAAGAAGTTAAAAAGTTTATGTATGTGATTAAATAAACATGTAGTTGGTGGGTTTTTTTTGAGAGAGAGTGGAACAAATCCCGCTCCCCTTCCCAGTATGACAGCAACAGGTTTTCATATTATCTCAAACTTATTTGGGCTCGGGGTTCCACAATTTTGCAGAGGAACTTCTTTTTGTTAAAAATCTGGTAACTAGTTAATTAAACGGTAAAAAAAAGAAGCTAAAGTAGCTTCTCCTTTTTTATGAACAAAGTGAATGATAACAAACTGGTATTGTTACGGACCGTAAAATATTCCAACCCGTACAGCTGGTTCAGAACACGGTATCGTCTAACGGTGAAACTACCGTCGTTCCCTCGGTGCCTTTTCCACGACTACCGACATTGTGCGGAATGTCTACCAGGCATAAGTGTTTGATGAAGCTAACAGCTAAAGGTCAACGGAAACGCTGCGCTGAAAAAGAGAGAAAAAAACGTACAGGGTGCAGCTTGTTGTGCTCGGCATATTGGGCCGAGCACTTGTGACTCAGTGACCCTTGTGAAGTTGTGTGGAGTCGGCGGGGCAATTACTGGGGAAAAAACCTACTGCCACACAGGCCCGACACGGGGAGAGACGAGGCAGTGAGTGGAGGTCAGAAACTGTGTTGGCTCATGCTTGGATTGTATTCTAATGTGCACTGTGTGTATGCACAGTGCATTAGGATTGGCAAGTTTTTTGGGTGGGTTAGTCTAGTCCTACACGCAATGGTTGTGCATAGTGGGGACTGCAAGCACTGGCCCTGCATGCTGTGTTCAACAAACGTATGATGGGGTTCAACTGATCCTTGCATATATGATACCATGAGACACACTGTGTAATGTACTAAAGTCCCACGTGATGAAGTTCGAACAAAGAGACACAATCCTGAGATCATTAATTGTAACTTTAAAAGTTTAGAAAACTAATGACCCCAATGACAACATCTCAATGTACATGTACCGGTAGTTGGATAAGGGTAACAAATTTTGTGCAGTACATACTTTTTGTACACACATGCAGTCAATCGGTACACGCATAGAAGGATTTGAACTAACAGTTTCAAGTTAAATGCAAAACAAATTAACCAAGAGCAGATCTCAAGTGACTTCACGTACACTGTGTTATTCTGGAAAAGTCTCATTTTTCAAAACCGCTGGAAAATGAACGGATTCTAACAATCAACTACTGTAGTTGGTTTGTCCATGATACATGTACCGTACTTGCACAACTTTGTGTTTATTAGTCATCAGCCAACCACGTAACATATCTTCTATCATGTCTATCCATGTAGCTATCTGAAATAAACATTTCATATTACGGACAAATTTTATATGACGTATATTTGGACGTTTCTCATTCACAGATTGTCTTGTTGGAATACAATGTTCATGTACATGTAAGTAACGTTAATCAACTACAGATAAAACCAATTATACAATCACGCTCACGTTACGGGAAACGGCTGCAAAGCCAGCGTACATGAGTGAAGCAAACGATATTCAGCAACGTAACGTCTGAACTTTAAACAACGGACTCAGTACATACCACGGTGTACAGTAATGACGACAACCATACGACTGCGCTTCACTTTCAACTGGCAAAATCTACGGCACTGCTCCGTTCTGAAATTCAGGCAACCCGGTACAACACATTTCAACACCAAGCGGAGGGGTGTACTAGTAGTCTAATACGGGGTGTGCACAGTCTGGTTGGTCTGTGGGTGTATGTTTGGAGTCTGCGGAGAGGAGTGTGAGCCCCGAGCCGACTGCACAGCACAATTTTTTTTTGCTGGCAGTTCCCGGGGTCACGCCTGCGTATCAAATGACAACCCAGGCTCTCTGGCAAACACACACAATGCCCACGCTGGCACAGCGGGGGCTGATTACCATATGAATATCTCATTATCATACCTCAATGCTTCACAGCCCATTGGTGGTTGTTGGGGGGGGGGGAAGTGGAGGGCTGTTGGCGCACTCTGTTATGTAACCATTCCGCCTAGTATTGTGCTGACAGTGGGGAACACTCATCTTTCAAGGAATTTAACTTTTGTACATTAGCAGGCATGTACAATGTACTGTACGGTGTGCATGCAAAGTGAACTGTGTGTGTGTACATATATACATGCGAACATGTGGTGGGTATGTCAGTTGTTTATGTGGGCATCTACAAATTCCTTTGTAAAGTTGCTGAGACATTTTGAGAAAAGTTTTTCTGAATGCAGTGATTTCATTCAATCATGATTCAATGAATGAAAAATAAAAGTTTGTGTTATAATGTCCGTGTACATACATTGCAATGATTGCGCTCATGAATGAATTAATTACAGATGCAGTTGCGTACATGTACAAAATATCTTCAAAAGTTCATAATACATTACACTGTACCGGTACATGAACACAGAAGGCCTAGGTTGGGGTTGACTAACATGAGTTGATTCTGGCCTTTTTGCCATGATTGAATTGAAAATAAAAACACTTTGTGTTTTAATAGACGCTGAGTGATTTGTGTTTTTCTGCAATTCTTAGTTTTCATTCAAACAGTCAAACAACGCACATGTTTGATTCTGTTTCTACGATATAACGAGAAAGTTACAAAAAGTTAAAATTCAGAAACATTTGATATTTCGTGTCCAAACAGTGTACTGTATATTGATGTACCCTAGCATGGCGCTGCCCCTAACGTGGTGCACTTTGATTTTTGACCTCTGGCGACCTGCTAGAGCAAAAATTTTACCTGAAATTTCACAGAAAGTCAAATTTCATCACGCTCTTAACATTCCCGTTCATGTATCGTGAGTTTATACCCGTAACACATAAGCAGAGAAGTGTATTTTGGCGTGATTTTCCAATTTTATTTCAAAGTGAACAGTGAACCATTTGAAAATGCACCCAAAAATACGAAAATAATTTTCTGACAAACTTCTACATGTCCTTGGGTATGTACATGTAGAGATAATGGTTTATCAGAATTTATCAACTTTAAGGACATTTTTAAATGTTAACTTGGGATTTTCCGAGATTAATTCAAGTACGTCACGTTAGGGAACACTCAGCTGATTTTGTGCCACCACAGAATTGTTTTTAAAAAAAACATGCAGTCAGTTTTCAGAGATATTGAAATATTTTTATATTTTCACTACATGCAAAAATTAATTAACATGTTCATTTACCACAAAATTAATGTTTTTCCCAACTGAAAAAGTACAAAAAATAAGGAGTGCGTATATAATGCATAATTCATACATGTACTAGCATAAAAAATATACATTTGTACAAAAACTACAACATGAAATGAATACTCAAATCAGTAGCAAATCTTGTTTGGCATTCACACACAGTTTTAATTTTATGTTTGAAAATTATCCAAAACCAGGAAAGCCTTTCAAACTTTCTATTCATGCAGTAAATTTTCTGACTGGGAAAAAAAAGCAACCATGATGCACACAAACAGAGGATTCTAAAAAAATTAACTATTTGATATATATTTTTTCATGCACTTCAACATGAACTCAACTTTCAACAGACCAGGTACAGGTACCGGTATGCTCAGCTTTCAACAGGTAATAAGTTATTTCAGGTGGTTTTGCGTTTTACATGTGTAAGGGCTGCCATAATAAAAAAGTTGTTTCATCCGGAGGGTTCTTGAAATACCGGGAGTTTCAATGGCACTTAATTTGAGACACCGCCAGCAGCCAAGCCAACCATTGGAAACCTGCCAGTAGGAAACTCAGGGCCGACAAGTTAAACAACAGCTCTCTAGACTGGATTCCAAACCATATAAAATTCTAATGCACACACAAGTACACACGAATATACAGACCCCGACAGGCTCATTTGCATAGACTTTGCTGGCGTATGGAATGCTATCCCCCCTACAGCAGTCATGGGTTACGGCTGGCCAATCGCAGCGTTGCGATCGGTGAACCTTGCCCTCTTTATAACTGCCCGAGTGCGGCTGCATAACGTGTATGCACACGTTTCCACCCACATGTAGGCACGGGGTGGAGAGGAAGTGGCTGTACACATGAGGCCCCTGAAAGGGGAACAGCACTTGGGCGGCAACATGGCAGAAAGCGCTTCGACAAAATAACACTCTGCAACGAGCAGACATGTAGACCCGATTCTTAGAAGGTCCGAAGGATGTGACAAATACTGCGCGAGGTGTCGTAAAAACACATACAGTAACTATGAAATGTACTCAGATACGGTACATGTACACGCAAAAAAAAAGAGAGTAAAAAGTCAAGACCGCATCGTAATGCATTCAACGTGTGGTCTTGAACACCTTTGAGCAAAACAATATTTACTGTGAATCTAGTGCAAGTAGTATACACTGCAGTCATTAAAATAAGTTGCAGACATGGAGGCCTATCGTGTACCACATTTTGCAAAGACTGGAACAAAAGTTACAATCAGACTTTTTGGAGGTACATGTACATGTACATTTGTAGCACACGTGTACATGTATGCCTCTAATGCACATGTACCGGTAGGTCTTTATTTTATGTAGAACAAAAGAATGAAAGATGTGACAGGAAGTTACAACAGTTTCCGTACACATTAAGAACACATCTGTAACCCCAACTCCCTAGTGTGTTTTACTGAGTACTAGACCAAGTCAGCCAAAATCCACCACTGACCCTGCTGGTATATCAGTAGATGTAATGCTTTAGGACCAAATCCGCTGAAATCCACCACAAGACCACCACTACTATACATGTAGGTGGATTTTGATGGACTTGGTACTCATGGCTTGCCTATCAAAATCCCCAAAATGGGGGAAGGGATTTTGATGGATTTGAGGTTGGGGTCAAAGGTAATGTTTCGCAAACATTTAAAACCGAAAACTACATGATACAGACATGTACATTTGTAGTATCAAATTATTATGAAATAATGTACAACTGTAGTGTAATTAGTAAATGTACCGGTAATACTCAAGCATCCTGTGAAATCGATGTGCCTGGTGCGTTGTCATTTTTCAAGGCAAGTGGATCATTTTCCAGTGATGGTTCGGCTGAAGAAAAAAAAAAGGCATTTTTTCCCCCCAAATACACTACATATTCGTGAATGGGTTCAAGCCAGCTAGAGTCTGGTTTTCTGACCCAACAATGTCTATAAATTGTTCCGTTTCGTCTGAAGCATCGGGTCAGAGTACCAGACTACAAGAAAGTTTTTTCCTGTTTTTTTTATTTTCAAGTATCCATGAACACAAGACTTTAAACAGGTCGGTGGAACAATATTTGCTATAAAATACTACAGAATATTCAAATATTCGATCATCAACCGAATATTGGAATAGCTTTTGGCTGGTTGGAATATATTCCAAAACAAAACAAGCATACATGTACGCATGTACAGTGACTGTTATGTTTGTTATTTTATTGTAAAGTTTGGCGCTTTATTGTCAGGTGCCACTGTTTTGTTGACGGTAACAATTTTGTCGGCGGCAGTTGATTGTTCCCATCCATTTAGCAGGTTAAAACCTTCGACAGTTATATCGTAAAACACTGCAGCAGCCCATTACGATTGCCGCATGCAAATTTTAACTGGCGCGCTTGTGGGCTTAAAAATACTTACATTTACACATGTATGTCCATGTACATTTGTATGGGGTACAAAAAATAAAAGATTCAAACAGTATGAAATGTGTCATGGACATAAATTGAAGACAAATATAATGAAAGCCCAGTAGCAAGTGTCACTTTCAAAATTTCATTTTCAAAATGATTTCCTTAAGAATATAGATTGCCATTACAAAACTTTATGATGCACCATATACATACACAACATACTGTACATGTATATGTGCACTTTTACTTTTTGTGAGTCAATCACTGCTTGAGTTGATCATGTGAGTATAACGTGTTTTAACGTTTAAACGAAAAATAACCAAAAGGTGTCTACACAAGTTAAAACTTCACGACGAGCCATTACATACTTCTGCACTAAATTACTTTTTGTGATCGAGTTCCATCACTTTTTGAGTCGATCATGTGAGTATTACACGTTTGAACGTTTAAACGAAAAATAACCACAAAGTGTTTACAAATGTTACAAAACTTCAGGGCGCGCCTTACATACTTGTACATGTACTTAACCATGCACTTGATTTACTTTTTGTGATCGAGTCAATGATTTTTTGAGTCGATCATGTGAGTATTACCATTTAAACATTTAAACAAAAAACAACCAAAAGGTGTTTACAAAAGGTAAAACTTCATGACGCGCCACTACATATCTCTGCATTTAAATTACTTTTTGAGATCAAGTTTTGAGTTGATCATGTGAGTATTACGCGTTTTAATGTTTAAACGAAAAATAACCACAAGGTGTTTACAAAAGTTACAAAACTTCATGACGCGCCATTACATACCGGTACTTGTGCACTAAATTACTTTTTGTGATCGAGTTCCATCACTTTTTGAGTCAATCATGTGAGTATTACACGTTTTAACACTTAAACGAAAAATAACCAAAAGGTGTTTACAAAAGTTACAAAACTTCACGACGAGCCACTACATATCTCTGCATTTAAATTACTTTTTGAGATCGAGTCCATCAACTTTTGAGTCGATCAAGTGAGTATTACACGTTTTAACGTTTAAACGAAAAATAACCAAAAGGTGATTACAAAAGTTACAAAACTTCACGACGAGCCATTACAGACTTCACACTTAATTAACTTTTGGAGATCAAGTCCATCAAGTTTTGAGTCGATCATGTGAGTATCACACGTTTTAATGTTTAAACGAAAAATAACCAAAAGGTGTTTACAAAAGTTAAAACTTCATGACGCGCCACTACATATCTCTGCATTTAAATTACTTTTTGAGATCGAG